AGACTCTGTTCTTTATTTTCTTAGTTTCTGCTATCTGTCATGGGTACTTTAGTATTCTGTATTGATCAATCTTTATCTTCATATTAGATTTGTTTTTGTACCTTGTTTCTAATTGCAAAATGAAATATGCTTTCTGGCTAAGAAATATGTTATCAAGGAGAATAGAATTGGGTGATACTAGTTTTCTTCTATCCTGAAATCATACCAGCTCATTGGAAAAGTCAGCCCTCAAAATAGTGTTAAGGCATGCCCTTTCACTGAGTCTCTGATCTCTCACAGCCCAATGTCCCTTCTTGAAGGCCTGTAACTTGCAAGAGTACTTTCTTACATCCTATGCGCATCAGATATGGATAAAGAATCGTTTCTTGCTAAACAATTATTTGTGGCCCACCCTCTGCCCCTTGGGTTTATTTTAAACCTATCTCTAACATTTCTGATGAGTTGCGTATAGTAATCCTGGCTTGGGTGAGCTATGGGGATCAGGGATTAGCTAGAATGGCTGTTCAGGGATCTCTTTGGTATAACACTTACAGGGGGGCAGGAATCTCTCAGAGAATGAAGGAGAGGCTAGAGCATTAGGGAAGAGAAGAAATTCATACCTGAAATTATATAATAGATAATAGAGTCTGGACTTTTATTTAAAAGCTAGAATCAAGATATATATGTTGAGGGTAGAGTGGGGTAGTAATTGAAAGAGAAATATGAAACTATATGTAGCGTCAAGGAAAACTAATAGCAATTGAAGAGACAAAAATAAAATTTGTTGGCCGGGCGCGGTGGCTCAAGCCTGTAATCCTAGCACTTTGGGAGGCCGAGGCGGGTGGATCACAAGGTCAAGAGATCAAGACCATCCTGGTCAACATGGTGAAACCCCGTCTCTACTAAAAATACAAAAAATTAGCTGGGCATGGTGGCGCGTGCCTGTAATCCCAGCGACTCAGGAGGCTGGGGCGGGAGAATTGCCTGAACCCAGGAGGCGGAGGTTGCAGTGAGCCGAGATCGCGCCATTGCACTCCAGCCTGGGTAACAGAGTGAGATCCTGTCTCAAGAAAAAAAAAAAAATTGTTTATATTGTTCAAAGGAAAATTAAAACAACTGACAAAAACTTCCTTAATCCCATGTTGATAGGGTTCTATATTATTAACTGAGTTTATAATTAATTTTGTCATGATTTTAATTTGGTTATAACCCTGACTTCTTTCTCTCTTAGGTTTTGCTAGTTTAATGTTCATGAGTTCACAAAGTTAAAAATCTTGGCTGGGCGTGGTGGCTCACGCCTGTAATCCAAGCACTTTCGAGGCCAAGGCGGGCGGATCACCTGAGGTCGGGAGTTCAAGAACAGCCTGACCAACATGGTGAAACCCCATCTTTTAAAAAAAAAAAAAAAAATCTTGGTAGAAATATGGAGTAGTTATTTCTTTATACTTCTGTTTAGAACAAAATTGTGCTTTTGAATTGGCTACTTACCTAGAAAGTGACATAAATCTAAAAAGCAAAACTGGATGTCTTTTGAATTGTCTGTTAAATACTTAGAGCAGTGGAGATGTCTTAAAAATGAGCACTTTATTATATTTGAAAAAAAATTATAATTTTATGACTAAGAAGAATTTCCATTTCTCAATTTATATGTGTTCATTATGCTAGAGATTAATATGATAACTCCAACATATAGTTTTGTGAATTTCAAAATTCTTGATGCCAAATAACTGAAATATAGTCAATTCTGCCGTAACATGATACATGGGTTCCTAAAAATCACTACATTATACAAAACTGGGCAATAAAAACACATTTTATTCAAAAAATGGGGATAGGCACACAATACTTAGAAAAATCACTAGTGACACATTACAAAAAAATTGGGAATTTAGTAACAACAACAGCAAATTTTTATACATGTTAATGGTTAAGAAATTTACAATAAACATGGCAGTGTATTTGAAAAAGACCTAAAGTTTCCTTTGGAAGTTGGCCTTCAAAAGGGTTACAGCTTGTGAGAATTTGAGAAGTATGGAGGGAGGGTAATTGCTATCCCAGTTGTGAGCAGATACAGCTTTTCTACCTGTGTGAGGAAGTGCAGTTTCTGATGGATGAGATGTGTGTATTTTGTGTATTCCTACGCTGCTTAGTTTAGCTGGTTGCAGTTTTCTGCATTCACCTGGAGTTTCTTGTGGATAGAATCACACATAAGCAAACTCAAAACTTGTGTTATGATAAAATTGTTCTGTAATATATCAATCATGTTAGAACAAGTTCATGGTTTCTCAACCAGCATTACCATAGAATTGACTGTGTAATAACCCCTTCAACACTTGCACACCTGTGATCCCACCTTGTTCTTGCCACCACCTTAGCAAGCAGGGCTGCAATTGCCTGACCACTTGTTTGTGTTCTGGGAAATCCTGACCTATTAAAAGTCACATAGTAACTCAGGGAATCTGTGTCAGACCTTCCTAGGTCTGTGTGAGTTTGAGGCAGGCGTGCTTTCCTCTGAAAAGGCAGACCCTCATGTATGTGGGACAAAGAGCATCAAAAACATGGGCAAGGTCATAGAGACAGATCCCAGAGATGGGGTTAGAACCCATCTTACCTGATTGTCTGTTTAGAGGCTTCAGTTCACCATCTCAGAAAGTACCTGCTGCCTGCCATCCTCCCGCCTGTCTGATCACCTCTGCAACACATTGTTAATGCTTAAATAGGCTGTGTTTTCTTCATTGCAGAGATCTAAAAACCCAGCCGTGAGAACTCAGTTTCTAATTTTTGCCATTGCTTTATTGGATATTTTAGAATGTGTAAAATGTTTTAGAAATTGCTTTTTAATGAATCTTACCAGCACAGAGGTCATGTCAAGTGTCAGGATGTTTGACAACAAGGCCAGTCTAGCCTATCCATTGAGTGTCAGAGAAGATTAACGATAAAGGGTGCAATCCCAAAGTTGGAAACGACTTTGCTATCAAGCATTAATTAATGTGGAAAATAAAATTATTAGATACTCCCTTGTCTACTTCTACCCCAAGCTATGTCAATCAGCTCTATTTCTAGAAAGTTTACATTTATTAAACCCTCACTGTGGTCAATGCAATGGTCATTGCTATGAAGATTCAACAAGACAAGATATTGTTTCTACTATCAAGAAACTGATTTGAGAGTTCTGTCTAATGACTGAAGAGAATTTTTACCACTGTGCCTGTGTTTTTTATGCCACAGTATACATGTACAGATGAGAAATTATGCTCTGTTCCCTAGTATCAGTTAAGTCTGCAGGTGTGTGCTGTTTTTCGGTCACTCTGTATTGCAAAATCCTGAGTTTGGCACTGATACTAAAGAATATCTTACAAAAAAATTCTTCACTGACCCTTCTTTTTTTTTTTTGAGACAGAGTCTCACTCTGTCATCTAGGCTGGAGTGCAGTGGCGCAATCACAACTCATTGCATCCTCCACTTCTCAGGTTCAAGTGATTCTCCTGCCTCAGTCTCCCTAGTAGCTGGGACCATAGGCACGCACCACCACGACTGGTCAATTTTTGTAATTTTAGTAGAGAAGGGGTTTTACCATGTTGACCAGGCTGGTCTTGAATCCTGGGATTGCAAGTATGAGCCACCTCGCCCAGTGAGACCCATAGGAGTTTAATTATAGTCATATGTTACAGGGTCTTGTCTATAAAACCACACATTCCAGGAGCCATCCAACTAAGGACAGCATTGCACTTGTGGAACCACAATCCAGGCATGGGTTATCTGTTCCTATCGTAAAAGAGGCTGCTCTGTCACATAAATAATATGTTCTGCAGCCCCTGAGAGGCGAAGAGAAGCCTGGCTTGGCTCTATTTGTCGTTTACTTTTTTGTAAATTTTTTTTGGTAAATTTTAACAAACAACAAGAAAAATGACTGTCTTAGTCAGTTCAGGTTGATAGAACAAATTACCAAGACCATGTGACTTAAACAACAGGTATTTATTTCTCACAGTGCTAGAGGCTGAAAGTGTGAAATCTAAGTGCCAGGATGGTTGGGCTCTGGCAGGGGCCTTCTCCCAGGTTGCAGATGGCTGGCTCCTTGTGTCTTCACATAGTGGAAACAGGACTAGCTAGCTCTCTGGCCACTACTTATAAGGGCACTAATTCCATTCGTGAGGATTCTACCCTTACGATCTGATTACCTCCTAAGGGCCCCATCTACAAATACCATCACATTGGGAATTAGATTTCAACATACAGATTTTGATAGGGACAAACATTCATTCTATAACGATGACCAAACAAGGTCACAAAAATTACAGTGTACATAGCATGCTTGCATTATGTTTTGATGAATTAATGTTTTTTTATTATGCATACCAAAGAAATGAATGCAACTAGATGTATAAATATTGGGCAGTAATGTTAAAGTTTAAATTTAAAGCCCTTTCTGAATGTGAGGCCAAAAGTATTCCTTTTCTCTCTTTCTCTTCTCAACCCCATTTACTTTACAGGATGATTTTTCTGTTTTCGGTCATAATTGCTTTTTTTTT